AAAAAAATATGAATAAAACGTAACACGATCCGCCAACCGATGTCTCGATGTCTGTTAACAAGCTTATTTCCCGTATCTCTGTTAATTATTCGACTACCATGCGTGTAACTTACCATGTCGAGGATTTTAATTAATTTTCTATGGAAAATCGCGTACACGCTTTGATAATCATCAGAGGCTACAAATCAAGCGTTCATAAAATACAACAGCACTTTCAGAGGTAATATGAACGGCCATATTGCGGCGCATACGCTACGTTTCCCGCTTGCATAGATTCTCAATAATAGAGGTTTTAAACGGACGTTGTTGATGGACAGAATCATGGTGAAAACTATGCCAACGAAAAAAGGTTAAACAAGTTGGTCCCGAGACAAATGAATTCGAAACTGTTCGAACACTGTTCCGATTTCCACATAAAAGAATGAACCGGGATAACCTCGACACGGAAAGGAATATAACCTAGCTTTTCTCTCTCTTTCTTTCTCTCTCCTGCTGGGCTTTCTTTCTCCTCTTTCTTCTTTTTACAAGTTCCCCTTATTACAAGAACGCATCGAGAGATTCAGACGACGTAGCCCCGGCTTTGTACGGGCTAGCTAATTATCATTCGTGCACGCGCTAACAAGTCGCGTTTTACCGTAAATGGAATCGCGGTATAACTGAATCGACACAGCGCATGCGCGTACATGGACGTGGCCTAGCGACAGCGCACAAATAAACGGTCGTAGTATATACAACTATATCGGGATTATCTCTCCTATCCTAGCTAGTTACTATAGATGTGGAGACTTGAAAAATGATTTACCGAGAGCATATTTTAAGTCAAATTTTGTTTTATATATAAACTTCAACGTTTATCCGTCATATTTTATTTTCTTTAAGAATGAAGAAACATTATTAAAGTGTAATCTTTATGATTCTAAAGTGACTGGAAAAGAAAAATATTATTTTCACGCATTTTTATTTTCTGGCCAAATTTTCTTTTTCTTTTTTATCTTTGCTCTATAATTCTTTTTCGTATTTTCAAATTT